GGATAACCTATCAAGATAATCTGCAACCCCCACAGTTTCATTTTGGGGCATGTACAAGGGTTTTGAAAAGATAGCTCGAATAAGAATCCCCAGAGTGTCAATTTTTTATGTAGGAAAACTTGAAGAGGGTGGCTGAGTTTATAGGGTACCCTTTTTCAATAGTTGAAGGAAACACAAGGTGTGATTCAAGCAAAAAAACCGCTATGCAGTTTAAATAATTTTAAGGATTTACTGGTCAACTATAATTTTAAGGATTTAATGGTCAACTAGAGTGGCAACTACTTGCAAAATCATGCCAATACCTCCTTTCTCAGGAAAGGTAAGGGGGGTGATTGGGCCAATTATCTTAGCTCTTCCACGAGGCAACACCTAGAAAGAGAGACGCAAGAAAAAGCTGGTGGATTTGGCTTGACTTGCTTTATTTTAATGACATTCTCAATTTCAAGATTATCATATTAAATATTATTAGAAAACATACTACTAGCGGTTAAAGGAAGTTAAAAGAGTAGCGTGCACCACTTCTCCCAGTCTAGTCAAGTTGCTTCAACAAGGGGACGATGGGAGGATTCTTTGGGACCTATGGAGAGAGACATGGGGGGGTTTAAAAAAACCCTCTTACATTTACAGATCACTAAAATGCCATGATCCTAAACCATTCCAGCATCCTTACCTTACAAATTGTGTACATATTAACTTGGGAATGATACAGCTACATCTGGAACAATGGAGCTCTTAATCAAGCAGATTTGATAATTCAGCCTTTCTAAAACAATCAACTAATGCCATTTTTCCAGCAAATTCTTTTTTAGGGTATAGGTTATCTGCCTTCATCCTTGCTCGCAACCCATAGATTGGAGTTTTCGCGTTGATGTAAGCATCGACCAGAATTTCAAATGGCTTAAAGCGTGCTGTATACCCTAGCTCCCTCATACTCTGGAATAACTTCTCTGTGTTATGTATATCGCCTCGTTTTGCATAATGCTCCATGACAGCGATGCATGTTGTGTACAAAGGCCTCTTCCTCTTCATCCTAGCTACCTTCAGCAGAATTGAATGCGCTTTCTCAACATCACCAGATTTGATATAAAGCCTCACTAGTGCATCCCAGGTCAATGGGCCAGCCCACGACCCAATATCACCCATCTTTTCCACCAGATCCTTGCCCTTACTGGTTAAGTCGTTGTCTATGTAAACATTCAGAAGAGAGGTGAAATATCCAAATGTGGGATTCTTCCATGTCTGAAGCATCATCTCTGAGACTGCTTCTGCTTCTTCCACTTTGCCCAACTTGCCCCAGGCTTGTATGGCAGCTATGCACTCACTCTGCTTGGGATCTGCTTTGCATTCCTTCCAAATTCTACCCACCTCATCAGCCTTTCCAAGAGAAGCATAGAGGGAAAGCAATGATCTACGAGCTCCAAGACCTCCACCCTTCTGTTTTCTTTTTTCAATTTCCTTCAAGTTGAGGTCAGCTTTATCTTTTAATCCCACACTTATGTAGTGCCTTGCTACGACTGCTAGAGCAAAGACGTCAAGTTCCATGCCTTCATTCCTCATAGCCTCAACTAATTTCTCCATCCCCGTTGTGTCATTAAACTGACACTTAGCATCAATAAGAAGCTTGTATGTAAGGAAAGAAGGTTTGATATTTTGGTCCTTCATCATCAACAATATATTGGGTATTTTTTTCTTCTCCAGCCTCTTGTAGATAATTATCATCTGTTCACATGCTTCGACAGTGATTGGCAACCCTAAGTCCCTCATTTTCCGGAACACGGACTCTGCTTTCTTGATGTTCAAAACACTGACGCAGCTCGCCAAGAGGGTTTGATAAACTAATTTACCTCTGAAGGACTCAGGGATCTTCTCAATAAACTTCTCTGCCTTCCAAAGCCCCTGTACTTTCGCAATGCAATCAAGATGACACGCATAGTCCCTTTCAGTGAAATCAGTATGCTTACTGCTTTCCAACCACTCAGAAAACTGCAATGATACAGAAGAAGTTAAATCAGAACAAAAGCATTGTTTGATTCAATGAGGAGAGGATACACACTAAGAACTGGAAAGTCTTGAAAAAGGTGACAAACATTCTGATGCCAATTGGCAAAATGAAAGAGATATGGGTAAAATGTGTTCTACACTGGCTATAAAAAACAGAAATGCCTTGAGAAAAAGACCTTTCCTCACTAAGTTATTATCAAACAAACAGGAAATATCACAACCTGATTTGTCCAGAATATTCACGTAAATTTATAGCTAGTTTCTATGTTGTCTGTCAGACCATCTTGTTTCATTGAATCTTATAAACAAGCTGTACTAACCAATTAAGAAATGAATATAGTCTTTAAAAATCAGTTGATTCAGAAATGAGGTCCTGACAATCACTTTTGGCTGTCCACATGAGGTCTTAGCCTAACATCTCGAAACACACTTTTAATATTCTGAAGTTGGTGACTATAACGCAGGTAGCAAAGGTAGTCTTGTTAGTTTGGATAAGGTAGAAGTGCCTTAATATGCCACAAAAAAATAGCAGGAAATCTGAGGGGTATTACCCATAGAAAGGGAGAGAAATGTAAATTCTATAAGCTTGATTAAACTGGCAGCGTCTCCACCAATAAAGCGCAAGCAAGATTTTAACATTTAGCTAAATGCGCGCAGGCTCACAAAATGCAAATCTTAACAAAGGAAAAAGATCAAGACGGTACCTGTAATGCCCTCCAATACAGCTGTTTTTTCCGAAGATGATCCATGATCAAATAAATCTCCCCTCGACTCAGCTCGTTGCCCTCCTCAGTAAACTTACTAAGAAAATCAACAATACTTGGAGTTTCCGTAATTGTATTTAATAACTCTAAAGCTTCCTTTTTATTACCAGACTCCTCATCCATTTCCACTTCCCTATCCACTTCCTCAGCATTTCTCTGTTCATTTACGTCATCCATACCACCTGCCTCAAACTCCAAAAACCCACCTCCAATTTCATCATTCTCATTGTCATTTCCCATAGCAGCCTTAGAACAGTAGCCACAACTCCCCACATATATTTTTTCACTAATAGGTGGCTTACGGTGAAGCTCATTCAATAAATTATATATCCCAAAAATCACATTTTCAAGAGTGCATGTACCAGCTCTATCACTCGCAAAATGACATACTCGGTCCAATTTAGCAGTCCTTGCTCTAAAACACCCAAGCCAAGAGCTATTTATCCTGACATTAAACAAGAAATGAATCAATAACTTACAAAAACATAGATTTTATTGGGGATGCATCATCAAGTATAAACAACACTAAAGATGCTTACCTTTTCTCTTAATTTTAATTAAAAAAACAAGCATTTTACACAAAAGGCATAACTTTTGCAAACAAACAATCTACTTATGAATTTTTAAGGCAAACCAACACATCAAAATCTATAGTGGATTCTTTCCTAGTTTCATAAAAAACTTGAAATGACAATTCTTGTGATGATAAATACAGAAACAAGAAATGGCACTAAGAATCACAATTAAACAAACAATACGTTCTTTTCCACGTGAAAAGAATTATAACCAAGAAATGGTGACCATAATCACTTTGAAAAAGAAAACCCATAATCTCTTTCTTTGTAGAGGGTGAGAAAGTTACCTGCGAGAGTGTGCAGAAGCTCGACGGAGAGACCACATGATAAACCCCAGCGAGAAGGCAGCAGCGGCTATGGAGTCTTAAACCCCCTTCTGTTAGTAAAGTAAAATGGGCCCCAATGCACCGACGGTTCAGCCCATATAAAGCCTAGATTGCAATAGGCACCCGGCCCTAGCCAGAGCCCAAGCTAATGAACAGCTGTTTTTTATTGGGGGTGGATATGGGCCTGTAGGCCTGGGCTGGCAGGTGGAGGAGTCAGAACTCGAGGCCTCCTAACACAAAAGTACGAGACAGCTAATTTTACTGCCATTGTTTTAGATGATTACTTTTTTATTTGACGGCAACCAATATTATTGAATTAATTTATATATTAATTGAAATTAAAAATAAAACGGATGATTTTAAGTTCAGTGTATTTAAAATAATTTAATAATTTTTTAAAAAAATCAAACGGAAAAAAGAAGCATGAACCAAAATAAAAGGAGAGTATGAAAAGCAATCGAGAAACATTTATAACTCTATGAAATTTTAATACCAACCAACCATATCTTAATAAAATATTGAAAATGTTTTTAAGGTGGTTTTAAAATCTATTAGTATCTCAAAAATTAAAAAATATTTAGTTGAAAAACAAAAATATAAGTATAAAAATGTTTTCTGAATCTCCTCGAACAGTATAATTTGTTGTGCTGTATTTGATATTGAGTGCAAATTTTGATTTGATGGTATAATTAATAGTTATTTACCACATAATCAACATGAAATGAACTCGATTCCTGCACCGAAATTGACAAACACTAACAATTACAAACGAAGTATTGACATGCAACGTGAAGTAAACGCAGAATTGAACTCCAACTCTCCATAAATTGATCCAAATCAGAAAATTAAGGTCATATATGTCGACCCGAAGTTACTTTGAAACATGTATGCCCCCATCAACCCATGGTTCCAGCAAGAACAAGCTAGGAATTTTAACACTCACAGTTGACAGGACTACTCTGTACTTATCTCCCCTTCTTAATTTACATTCACTCTCATGGCATAACGATGCCTTACAATCAGATTTTACATGGTTGTCTCTGCATCTTCTTTCTTTCTCAAAGGAAACCTTGATGAAAGACATTAGATCCTTGCTGGGACTTGTATTCCCAAACACCCTAATGTCCCTAAAAGTAACGTAACCAGAAAAGGAAAAATGTCCCTAAAAATAATCATCCCAATTAAACAAATTGCCCCCCTTCCTCTCCAGCAGAAATTAACCAGGTCACCCTCCAAACCAGTAGCTGGAGACTTTGTTTTGCCCTTGATTCTTGCTTTCAAATTAACTTCTCCCAGAACCCTCACTAGAGAATTAATTAATGCACACCAAGAGATCAATTCTATGTCCAAACCTTCACCAGCAGGAGAACGTATATTGATCTCAATGATTAGAATTTCCACAAACATTGATGATTGCACTACCATTTTTGGTTATCAAATCCTGACAAAGAATAAGCTTAGTTCTGGTCCGTTGTTTCCATCAGGATTCAACATATAATAGGTCTCTGAGTCTTTGGACCCTGCCACACGTTCAAAGAATGCCCGCATGTACGTTAATTCTCCATCTGCAGGCTGATCGGCTCCATCTCCTGTAGGTATCACACCAGCCCCCATAGAAACCACGTGCAAGATTTGCATCACATTCAAATCCTCGTCAGTTGGCTCTCTCTTGACCGCATAACCTGACTTTCTGCCATTACAAAACATTGTCCATATCGGTTCATCTTCAATCTTGGTCTTTTCATGTGGCTTCTTTTCACATTCCAAGGCAATCCTAACAAGTCCCACTCCCATATCTTGAAGGAGTTTTCCCGTGGGGATTGTGAGTTCAAGCAATAAAACAGGTAGGGATCCGGGGCTTTCTTGGATGGCAAGGTTTACCCTAGCTTTCCGGTGCCCAAATAGGGTTCCGGTCATGCGGGTCCCACCATGAACGTGCCCATCATGGAGGCGGTTTCCGTGGAGTGAGACAGGAATCTTGCATGCTGGAGCAATGATAGGGAATGACCGGAAAACAGCACGGACACGACGAAAGATCTTATTGTGTTTTGATGAACCTTTCTTGCTATTTGGTTGATGGAGGGAGATAGTAGGCCGGACGGGGGACATTGGGTTCACCTTTCCAGATGGAGTGGTTGGGGGTGATGGAAAGGTCGAGGGTGACTGGGACCGAGTCTGTACCGGCTTGAGAGATGGTGGGATTGATGGTGGATTTGCCATGGTGGAGATTTGTTACTCCTTGGCGGGCTTAATTTGGTAGGCTTAATTAGTGCTGGTGGTGCATATATAACAAGATTGAAGTTGAGGCATGCACGTTCAACTTCGTTCTTGCTTCTCATTATATTTTTTTAAAGGAGAATTGAAACATATATATTTCTCCAGGTTTTTTCTGCATTACAACTGATCTATGGTTAAGAATTAATTTCCAGTTCTGTATAACTACCCTAAAGATAGCTTGGTTATTGTAATTCTTGGATCGATCGACTACTGGCATGGTCCGGAGCTTTCTTGTAGCCATTAAAATAGGCAATTTTTTAGTACACTTCTGATAGCTAAACAGCTTGAAAACTGGCGTCTTTCGCCACCCAAAAAAGGATCAGCGCGCGCGCGTGTATATATATATATATATAGTTTGTGATAATGTATTTGATTGAATGGTGAATTGGTAAAGTAAAATAACCAAATATTATCTTTAATTCTACCCAAATTTTACTTATAGTTCGCTTTTTTAATTAGAGATTGTGTTTGGTTAGTGTTTTAATACAGAAAAGATAACTATAAAAATAAAAAATAAATATTTAATTAAAAATAAATTTGTATTGAATTTTTCGGTGAGTTTATATATTTTCAAAAATTAAAAACACATGAAAACATATTTTATCTATTTTTATTATCTTTATGCGTATTATATCTCATGACAATGAACTAACACTATCAAAAATATACTCAAATCAAATGTACATCTTTATTTTTTTAATTTATTATTTTTTTCACGAACCTATCCCGCGACCCTTTCCACTGGCAGTATATTGATCCATCTTGTAACAGTGGTCGACAAGAAGTGCAATATAAAATGTTTTGTGAACTGGGCAGGAGTATCTTGAAGATTTTGCAGCTTATGCATATGTACTCAGCATCCTTGATTAATTTTTTGTTTATAAATTAAGGATGTTTTGTATATTTTTTTTATTCATCTTGTGCAGGCGCAGACATGGAGAGCATGAAAAGGAGTGATTGGCATGAAAAAGGAGTGGTCATTATCCACAATGTCGCCATGGCAAATGCTACGGTGCTCTCGTAAAATTAGACAGCTCTTGAGATGAGTTAGTGGCCATAGTCGTTGAACTTGATTTAGCGAAGAAATTAGTGAAGATAAAAACTGGATTATAAATCAATAGAACAACTTGGATTAATTAAGAATATTTTTTTGAACAACTTGGATTAATTAAGAATATTTTTAAAAAAAATAAAATCATCATATTATTTAAAAATACATTAATAGATTTTTTACCGAGTTAACTTTTTCAAATTGTTATAAGACTTGGTTAGAACTAGATTTCGAATCTATTTGTTAGGCCCAGATTAATAAATTTACTTTCAAATTCTTATGGATTATATTATTTTTTTCCATTCGATCCAACGACTTGTATTTCTCATTGAAAGAGCTCGATGAATTTTGGACAGCTCTGTTTTCTTGTGCCTTGATCCTAGGGCTGATAGTGGTTTTTTTTTTTTTTTTTCTAATCTCGAGAGCAGTGCTGCCACTTATTCTCAAGGGGCACCATTCTCCGCTTGCTGAATGCTAATATTCCAAGAGACGATTGCATTAAAGAATGGCTGTTTGATTTAAGTCTTTGTGGCAGTAGAGAATATATCCTTTATTGATATAATTTGTATTGTGGTTTTTTAAACAAACTTCTATTTAATAAGATTTTTTTATATGTTAACACCGTTAGAATTTAATAGTTTATTAATTGATTTTTTTATAAATGAAAAAATTATTAGAATAAAATACCCAATTCACATTTATAGATGAAGGGTTGCTATTAAATAAAAAAATATTATATGGGAGTAAAATATGATGTTATATTGATAGGGAAAATTCAATAAAATGTTTTTACAGGGAGCGAGCTATATCTAAAACGTGGTTTAGAATTGAATAGATAAAAAAATAAAAAAATTAAGAAGAAAGAAAAGTAAGGAATGAATAGCTCATGTGCTAATTATTGGGTTTGATTTTCTTTTCTTTATCATCATTTGATTTAAATAATGATTAATAAGGTTGAAAAAAATCTACAATATAATCTCCAATAAGTTAGTAATCTTGATTTAATAATATTTTTTTTTAAATTAAATAATATCTCAATTAATTAATAAATTTGCATAGTCCTAATAATATTAATTTACAGAGATATAACTATACTTTTTCCATTATCGACGCATCGTATTAAAGTCATCATAGAGTTAAAACACGCATGAGATAAGTCACTAATCACCAGAGTGCTTGAAAACATTAGTTTTCTATGAACATCTCTATTTTTCCTCTCTTTTTTAAGTTATATAAGGTGGCAAGTTGAGTAGAATATTAATTTCTAGCTGGTGTAAATGTCCACACCGGGAAGAACAATATTTGTTTACTATGAATAGTCTTCGACATTGAATCTTCGAGATGCTTGACATTGAGAAATGCATCGGGTACCCAAAAAGTTTTTAGCTGGTGTAGGTGCTGGCCCTCTATATTTTTTTATGGTGCAGTTGACCCTCGACTTACCAATTCATTAAAGTTACTATCACAAAAAAAAAAAATTAAAGAAATTTAAATTGTGAAAATATATATATAAAAAAGGAAGGAAATTCGTGGGGCAGGACAAAATAAAAAAGGAAAAGGCGTTTGAAATGTCTGTTGAATTTATAATTTTTTTTCGTGGGACAGGAAAAGAAATTGGGAGGATTCCGGCCGTCTATCAAGTAGACTTTTTGATCATGATGCTTGGCAGTCAACTTCAGAAGATTAGGTGAACATTTAGTGCCATGAATCTTAAGCTCTTGTAAATTTCATAATATAGATTGATCCAGTCCATTATGTAAACTACAAATTTCTCTTACACGCACACACGCACGAAAGAGAAAAAAAAGACAAAGATCTGGCTTTCGCATGTGTGGTTCTGGAGTTTTATTTTAATGAAACTTGTCGTTTTAATAAATTAAAAAGAATGATTCGAGATTAACTCTAGCTTGTAAAGCTTCGAATTATCGAGTCAGTCTTTGGTGTTTATATATATATATATATTCGGGATTTTTATAAAAATTTATTTGAGGATAATGTGTTGGGTGATTCAGATAGCGAGGCCTCACTTATTATAGTTGCAAGACACCTGGAATCTATAGCAAGCAAGCCTTACCCCCTGGGAGACCAGGATGCCGACTGCTCCATGAGCATAGGATCCAAGCCAACTGGTCGACCTCAATTCTTTACTAGTGTTTCGTTACTATTTTAGAAGATGAAGATAGAAACGATAAGATAAGATAAGATTGAAAAGATAGATAAAATTATATTGACAGTGATGTAAACGATAAAATAATTTTTTATATATTTTATTTGGTTATAGTAGACAAATTATAATAAATATATATATATATATATATAATTTAATTGTTATCAAACTTGTTTATTTTAAAAAACAACTAGGTATTTTTTATCTTAATATATATTATTAACTATTAAAATTAATAATATTATAATACTATTGATTACAAAATCTGACATGGGTTAACCTAGAATATAAACTTGTTTGAATTTAAAAAAAAATAAAAAAAATAAATTCAATCCAATCCAGTTAAAATCAAAGGTAAATCAAATATAAAACATAAATCAAAAACTGAATTTACTTCTAAATTAAGTTTTAAAATTATAATAATAATTATTTTATTTTATTTTATGTTGATTTAGATAAACCTATATTGATCCTCCTAACACTAACACGGGATATAGTTCTTATACCAGATTAACCTCTAAGTAAAATTTTAAAATAATAATAATAATTATTATTATTTTTATATTAACTTGAGTAAGTGATTAGCCCCACCCATAACCTAGGCTTTGCTGAAGTTGGTCTTTAAATTAGGTTTTAAAATTATAATAATAGATATTTTTATTTTTACAATGACTCAAGTTAATTCAGATCAACTTAACTTCTAATTTATGACTCGGATCTTAACCAATGACTCAGGTTTTACTCTAAATCAACTCAAGTTAAGTTTTTAAATTATAATAATAATTATTTTTATCTTTTCATAAATAATTTTAAAATTAAAAAAATAATAATATATTTAAAAAGACATATCTCTTAACTATATCTCTTAACTTAATTAACTCGACCTTACTTCTAATTCAAATGATTAACTTGACCTTATTTCTAATTCAAACATCAACCAGTACTCATACTTTGCTCTAAATTGATTTAAATTAAATTTTAAAAATATAATAATAATTATTTATCATTTTATATCTTAATTGGATAATTTTAAAATAAAAATAATAATAATGTGTAAAAAAACATGTCTTCTATGCCTTCTATTTTATTTTTGAAAGTATAGATATTTATTTTAAAATTATTATAGAGAAAAATGTAATTTTACATATCTGTGATATTATTCTCTACATTGTCTTCATCCTTTCTTTATGTCATGAAAGTAACTAAACGCTACAAAGAGTTTTCTTTATATGAGTTCATCAAATGAAATTGGAGATGCTGTAATTGACGTTTGAATGGCTTGGAACTACAACATTCCAGCAAAATCCTCGGCTTCCTTCAAATTGCAGCAATAAATCCAATGATAAATATATTAGCAAGTTGCAACAACCGGGGGAATGAAGGGCCAATAAAGAAACTACATCTTACACAAAGGTCTCAAAAGCAACAATCTCTTAAATGGCACCCCTGAAGCCTGAAACAACAATAAAACCAAGAACCTCCTCAGTGTTGCTGAGCTCGAGTAGGCAAAAAACATGGACATTTACACCACGGAGTATATTCAACGGATAAGTCAAAAGTTTCTGAACTGGTCTCTATAGGCACCTACCAAAACTGAGCTGAGTGGATGCAGCGAGTTGTCCGACCCAGCATCTAACCATTCACGCGAATGATATAAAATCCTAGTATATACATATAAGTGTAACACCTCTAGAGAATATTTCAAGCTTCTTCTATGGATACAACTACTTA